CGAAATCGAACTGATTGGCGTTTCGGTTTCAATTTACGTGAGCTTTACTTGGATTGGGATTTTTTTCGAGCTTCAAAATATGCTCTAAAAACCCCACCAAAGATTCCCCACTTTAGTTCTTGAGCAGCGTAAAATGTACGAACTCATTTTTTTTGGGGTCTAAAATGGGCTAACCTTCTTTAGGAAAAAATTATTTTGGGTCTATTTTTATTTTCAGGATCTAATGTTTTAGGGATGCTTGTTCAATCGGAACTATATTTGGTTTTGGGGTGTTGTTAATTTGTGAAAATCGGCTAATTTTCTTCTTAAATTGAGGTAATTTTGTTTTAGTTGTGATTTTTACTGGAAAAGAGTATGAAAACTGCTTTTATTTGATATGAATTGAATATTTGAGCTATATATGAACTTCTGATCTGTTCTGTTTTAGTAATATATGCTTAAAAGGAAAATTTTGTGTGATGATTTTTTTCTGTTTTTACACGTTGAGCTATTTATAAGATTTGGATTAGCTTTATTTATGTAAATGGTTGAAACGGTGTTGCTTTTGCTTTACTTGGAGTGTAATATGTTTGGTTTGAATAATTGAATCACGTGTGAACTTGGTTCCAGTTTTGGTGAAAAAGAGTGATGCACTGAGCAATGGCACTTAAGATGCCAGCTCCAGAGGCGGCTGAGATTGCCATAGGGTCCATTGGATGTGGGTATGATATTGGAATGGACCTTCGACTGAAGTACTGTAAAGGGAGTAATTCGAAAGATCCATGTCTTATCGAGATAGATGAAGATGGAGGCCATGAGATTGTCTTACCTGGTGGAATTTCGATACCCGATGTGTCCAAATCAATAAAATGTGATAAAGGAGAGCGCACACGGTTCAGGTCCGATGTTCTCTCCTTCCAACAGGTAATGGTTCATCGTTTGTTCAATGCTATTAGTAGTTAAATTGTTGTGGCATGAGTTAAATCCTGTGAGAGGTATACAGGAGTCTGTTTTTTCTCATTTCTTTTATTTTCTCCAGATGTCAGAGCAATTCAACCAAGAAATGTCTTTGACTGGAAAAATACCTTCAGGCCACTTCAATTCCATGTTTGAATTCTCTGGTTGTTGGCAAAAGGATGCTGCTAATACCAAGACCCTTGCTTTTGATGGGGTGTTCATCACTCTCTACTCAGTCGCACTGGAGAAATCCCAAATGGTGCTACGTGATCATGTCAGGAAAGCAGTCCCATCTACTTGGGAACCTGCAGCATTGGCAAGGTGAATTTGGATGCAAATTTGATCATTGAATGCTGTTGATGAGTTCTTAAATAAGACCTCGTCATGTACTAGGCCTTTTCCCCCTTATTCATTAACTTGGGCTTCGGCCAATGTGTGTTTCTGGCTTCCTCTCTTTTTGAATATCGTCATGTGGAGAACAATTCAATGATCAACTGTTTTGTTTCTCTTTTACTGGTTCAACATGCATATTCTTAATGAACATATGAAGAATGATGTTTTGTTGGTGACTATGAATTTTCTGCTGCCTTCTGCCTGCTTTTTTTATTGTTATTTACTCTCTGCTGTATAGAATTTGAGGTTGATATATACTTTTGGCATCTCAGGTTTATTGAAACTTATGGCACCCACGTAATTGTTGGTGTGAAGATGGGAGGGAAAGATGTTATTTACATAAAGCAGCAGCATTCCTCTACTCTTCAACCTGCTGATATCCAGAAAAGACTGAAGGATATGGCTGATAAGAGGTTTTTAGATGCCGGTGAACATTACAGCATGGTGCCTGAGCAAGTTTTCCCGAGTGACAAGGTTTGCTATAGAACTGTGATGATACATCGTCTAATCTATAGCTATATATATACATAAATCATGCTCCTTGTTTGGATGGAATGAAATCAACATTCCTAGGTCAATATTATTTTACAACAGGGGTACAATATCCATGATTAACCTGGCAAGCAGGGTGTAATTGTGGAAGTGCTGCAGGATGCAGCATATTGACGCCAAAATTTCTTTGGAGAATAACTGTTTAAAAGGGATATTTTTCGCACATAGTAACACTACAACGCAGTTTCGCACTAAATATTGTATGATTGCTAATGATATACCAGTTCAATAGTTACCAGAGAATACTACAAGTCTGCTACTGTTTTAAATGTTTACGTTTTTACACCAAGTTCTGGATCTGTCATTGTTTTTGCTTTGCCCCCTGTTTTATGAGGATTCTATTATTTTATAGGTCTTTCAACTTGGTTGGCGGTTTTGTTTTTAGTTTTATTACTTTGACACTTTATGCTTTGATTGCTAGCCTTTCAACTTTTCATTGGTTTTAACTTATCCGTCAATCATCCTTACGAGTGAAACATTGGCATAATGTGTGTTTCTGTTTCAGTTTGAAATCAGGGAGCAGCGGCTAAGGTTTGCTAGTAACAGTCCATCAAGTTCATATGCACATAAAGAGGTTGGTTTTCTTCCATATGGGTTGTTTGCTTAATAGTTCAAGCTCCTTGGTAAAGGTTTAAGCTTCTTTCTTGATATCAATGTTGTTAATAATTACCTAAAAATTGCAGGATATTGTAACCATTTACAAAAGGAGAGGTGGAAGTGATAATAGAAACCTTTCTCATATTGACTGGTTACAAACGATTCAGTTAGAGCCTGATGTAATCTCAATGTCCTTTATTCCTATTACTTCTCTGTTGAATGGAGTTCCGGGATGTGGATTTCTAAGCCACGCTATAAATCTATATTTGCGATGTAAGCAAGACCTATTGTTCTGTCTGTCTACCTAATGCATTTTTATTTTCTTCTACTGCCTGCTTCAAATTATTGCATCTCCTTTTTTCTCTTCTTAAACATGGGGTGTCTTCATTATTATCTGGAAGAAGTATGCCTCACATTTTTGCCTCTTTATAATTTGTGAAATATATCATAAGTTCACTAACCATCTTATTATTATGAAATTCGAAGGCAATCAAACATGAGTTATGAGCTTATTTTGATTAAACCTTTTTTAGATAATTGAAAGTCGTTAGTAAGTATCAAACTACATCAATAGGAGTTGATCCTTGATCACGTTTGTTATCATGAAATCCTTAACTAGCAGTTTTTAAGTGTGAGAGTTTCGGGACTGAATAACTGAGGTATTTCTAGCTTATCATAATCTGTGTCATGAAACAACATGAATTTGTTATTGGACCTCATTTTCCTTCATTTAGCTTGCCACTGCAAAGGATTTATTTATGTTATAGAGAACAGTGTACACATATTTCATCCGCAAGCTATATTGCTGTTACAGATAAACCACCAGTTGAAGAGCTCCACCAGTTTTTGGAATTTCAGCTTCCAAGACAGTGGGCACCGGTTTTCAGTGAACTTCCTCTTGGTCCGCAACGAAAGCAACAAAGCACTGCATCTTTGCAATTCAGCTTCATGGGGCCCAAGCTTTTCGTGAACACTACTCCGGTAAAGAATTTTTTTTGAAATTGAAATTTTCTGGCTTTCTGCATTAAGTGTTTCCATGTAGGTTTCATCCATGTCTGGGTTTGAATAGTTTTTATTAGCCCATCAGCTTGATAAAAATCGGACCATGTTCAATGCTGGTGTTGGATTTATAGATGACCACTAGAGTCTATTCATCATTTTAAATTTAAAAAATTATGTGCCTGATGATTGTTTGTTAAAATGGAATCTCATTTTATAGTTAGATAAGATTTATCTATAGGTCTTCCGAGTAGAGCATTGATAATTGAACTGTCACATAGCATGGATATAAAGTTGGAAACCGATACGTGCACTTGAGTCGTTGAGCTACAACCCTTTCTGCGAAGTCTTTGCTCATATTAAAATAAAATATATCTGATTTTTCATTACATAATTTCGTGACAGGTTGATGTGGGTAGGAGGCCCGTGACCGGCCTCCGATTATATCTAGAAGGTAAAAGGAGCAACCACTTGGCCATCCACTTGCAGCACCTTTCCTCCCTTCCAAAAATCTTCCAACTTGTAGATGATCCAAAAGGGAACTTCTGCCAAGAGTCTCATGATCGTAAATACTACGAGAAAGTTTATTGGAAGAACTACTCCCATGTATGCACCGCTCCTGTTGAGTCTGATGAGGATCTATCGATCGTAACTGGAGCCCAATTTCAGGTTGAGAATCATGGTTTTAAAAATATTCTCTTTTTACGACTACGCTTCTCGACTGTCTTGGGAGCTATTTCTGTTAAGCAGCCAGAATGGGAAGGATCACCCGGGTCAGTAGCCAAGTCTGGACTCATATCCACACTGATCAGTCATCACTTCACACAAGTTCAGAAGCTGCCTCCAAGGCCAGCTGATGTGAATATTAACTCCGCCGTTTACCCCGGAGGCCCTCCCGTGCCTGTTCAAGCTCCCAAGCTTTTGAAATTTGTTGATACAACCGAAATTACACGAGGGCCACAGGAAAGTCCTGGATATTGGGTTGTTTCGGGGGCAAGATTAGTCGTCAAGAAGGGAAAGATCTCTCTCCTGGTAAAGTATTCTTTATTGACTGCAATATTACCTGACGAAGACGGCGTCGATGAGCACTAGACGATTTTCCCTTCCACTTGTCACCTTGTATTCTTTATAGGAAAAAGTTACTGAAGATCAGAGAATCCAAAAGTATATATAGAGAGAGAATGGGGAGTGGAAACTTAAGAATAGTCAGATTTACAGGGATAAACTTCATGGGGATGGGTGAATGGAAGAGAGGATAAAGAGCAGAGGGAGACATGATTAGAAGTGTTGGGGATTCAATTGCTTGCAAATTTTATCTTTTAATGTAAATTTTTTTGTTTGTTTCTAATATAAATTCTTCAAGTTTCTTTGCACAATGGTCGTTTTGATTCTCAAGTTATTGTTTTCTTTTGGCAAAAGTGTTGTATGTAATCCTTTTACATCAAAACATATACTAGAGAATAAAAATTTTCTGTTTTTTTTTTCTTTTCAATCTGTCAATGGTCGTTTAGAAGACATGAGGGTTGATTATTGATAAATGTATTCAAAAACATCATGGATGATGATGTATGCTTAAGGATATACAAAAATATGTTCATGAGGAGGCCAATAGATGCCTTCCCTTGGACAAGGGAGAGGAGCAAGCTGAGCTATATAGGTTGGATTTTGTTCTCCCGGCATCACCACCATCAAATCAGTCGCATACGATGTCGATACCTGCCATCACAATGGATCATCAAACATCAGTTTCAAGATCCAATGAAAATAAAGCATATTTCAGAGATTTCAGAGATAAACTACATGATTTACTTGTATATATATGATCATAATTTACTTAATTCTGCTTGAATAGTAAGAAAAATTGGTAAATCATTGCCGAGGGACAAAAGGGTTTCTAGCTTTGTGGTTGAAGATTCAAAACTTAAAATTCGTGATCGATTATCTGGTTGAAGTTTCTTTTTTCTTAAAGAAATGCTGTCAAAAGAGAAAGAACAGCAGAATATGCACGGTGTATGAACTTAACAGCCTGATGAGATAGAAGCCTACTCTTTGTGGATTCCCGAGTTTTTCGGCCACTCTGGATCCTAGAGCACCGTCTTCATTGGGTGAAGAAAAAGCAGGATTTGGCTGAAAAAGGTGTTCGAAGATGGCCATGATAACAAACATCGATATCAAGATGGCTGTAGCAATAAAGCCGAAAGAAACGGCATTCATAGATGTCCCCAAGGTTTTCAATGGTGGTTCGTTATCGAGTATAGGTTGAGACGGACTTGGGTACATGTTCCATGGCATTGATCTTCCAGTTCCAAACTCATTCATAGTTGCAGGTTATTCCTCTAATAACATGAACTTCTTCATTCATGAGTTGTCATTGTTTCTGAAAAAGATCAACAAAGGTAATCATCAAAATCCAGGAACATTCATCCACATTTCAAGGGCAACATGTCTCGAAATTGTCAACATAGTGATTGTTACACGAGAAAGTCGAATTTGCAAGTAAAATTAACAAGAAAGGATGTTGTCAATGACAGTGTGATGATATAAACATAAGCAGTAGTTACAACCATATGATCATCTCAAGAGTGAATCATGCTCAGCCATCGTAGACCATTGACATATTCGAATATGGATATCGATAACCCTATCTTTTCGGGCGATTTCAGTCATTCTGTTCGAACAAAAAGATATGAATGTGGAACTTTCAGGCTATCCTAAATACCTTCGATGTCCATACCACAGACCGAATCACTAAATCATAGATGAATGACCAAAAACGGAAAAAAAAAAGAACACTGACCCAAAGTAGCAAAGCACCATATCACCTAATGTAAATGCTTCATGGCATCATTACAAATGAAAGTAAACTGGAATCAGTACTTACCAAGAGAGGAAAATCACAAGATTTTGAACTTAATCCTTTGATCCTATGACTCTAACACTGCCCTGGAAAAACAAAGACAAGCACCATTTCTTAAGGGCTGAGAGAAGCTAGCTTTTATATACCCAAATTAAAAATGTACAGACAAAGTTATATGATAATTCTCAGCAGTGTGCACTTTGCTTTTGATTTTGTTGAATGTGAATGATGTTTACATAATCCTGATGGCTTGATTAATACTATACCCTTGTCTCAAGAAGCAAACCTAAAGGAACCAAAAGCATGGGCCTTGCTGTCTGGAGACCAGAAACAAAAATTATATAAAATAAACATGATTATAACCGCATTTTCTAAAGTAAAAATCCAAAGATTATAAAATGTCCACATGAAAAAGATGATTATAACCATCATTAAAGTAAATTTCCATGTATCATTAAATTAAAAAGATAAACCATACACAGTTATAACATGATATTTTTACATATAAAAAGATGGGTATTTGATTCAAAGTAAACACAAGAACAACAACAGGATAGAAAGCACATGCAAAAGAACAGGATATGAATTGACTTGAAAGTCTAGGAAGAAAAAGGGGTGATCGACAGAGAGAAACCTTACAGCTATGCATATGCAGTGCTATAAATGTAATGATTCAAGAGAAGAGAGATAAAATGGACTGTGGCTTAAAGCAAAGAGAGCTTGAGAAAAAAAAAGGGTGTGATTGATTAGAGTTTAGAAACCAGAATTACATTCCTTGTATTTTGGTTTAAAGTCTAAAAGCAAACCTGGTGGGTGACTGTGCAGAGGAACCCATGAAAATAGACCCATCCCTTTCACCATAAACACCGAAGCTACTACTACAATCGGGATGAATCGATGGTTACTAACATGCGATCGGGTCTTTTTAAATTTTTATATAGATTAGATATTTTTTTTAATTTTTTATTCACACTTCTTACATTTATATTATAATTTTTTAAATTTATAAATTGACGTAAAATTATACATTCGTTTATGACTATAAACTTATATATAAACCATTATTTTACAAAATTTTCAATCTTCTATCTTAGTTTTTTCTAACCTGAATTCTGTTTTAATTTGTGTTTGATGCGAAGGTTCGTTGGGCTCGTGACCGTAACCCAATATCGACCTGTGCGAGGGTGAAGTTTTGTGATACGGATCTTATAACACATTGCATCCGTATAGATCTTCTATTAGATGGTAATTGATAGTAAAAAAAACTAAGTTTGAATATATTTTTTTTATTGTGCAAGTTATTTCATAATCAAATAATTATCTTATAAATATATATTAATAATTAATTTTGTTTGTTAACTTTGAATGAACACAAGATAATATCGGTTCAAATTATCAACTTTTTAACATTAAATGTTCATATATCTTATGATTTTAAAGAATAACAATAATTAATTAATCAATAAGATCATTTGGTTCGTATAAAATAAAAGAACCTTTGGTCTTCAAACTACGGGTTTCTTTTCGTCTCGAACAAACCAGCATTGCTACTTGCTTTCTTTATCTTCCGTAAAGCCAAGAATTCGTGTAGAAAAAGAAGAGTGGGAAAAAACAAGATAGAAGCAATAATTAGAGGTAAGGACCCTCGAAAAAGAAAGAGGCTCTTCTACCAAAAGATGCGTTGAGGGAGAGCTGTTTGTCAAACAAGATAATCAAATTGTCTGAGAGTGATGTGAAAGCCTATCTAAGACCCTAACCAATAGTATCATAAGGTTTTTGAATTTAAGCCAATCTTCTAGTATTATCATATTTCATAGACAATGATATCCCCAACTGGATACAAAAGCTTAACGGAAACAACGTTCATTTTACACAGTTTTCATTCTTGATCAACCGGAGCAAATATTCATTACAAAACACTACAAAGGGAAAAGAGCTTTATCCCTTTTCTGCTTCTTGGAAATGAACACCAATAATTTATAATAAACACTCTATTAGTGTGTAAAAGTATAATATAACAAAATAACGAGATAATTGTACTATATGTTCTTAAATTACAATTCTTATTTTAAACTGATTTTTAATTTTAAAAAAAAAATTGATTTTATACTGATTCTGAACTTTAGATCGTTATAAATGCATCCCAACTTATGACCTTCCTTAATATTAGTCCTCAAACTCTTGAAAAATACTAAAATTTCATCTTCAAATTTTGAATGATTTTGGGAGAGATTATTCGAACGTTCACAAGTTTTAAGATCAATTCATAACAAGAGTTGTAGTTTGTAGATCAATTTAGAACATTAAAATTTTGAAAATCATAATTTAAAAATAGAATTAGAATATTCAAAATTTTAAAAATCAATCTAGAATGAAGATCGTAACTATTTTTTAAAAAAATTAAGGGTGTATGATATAATTAACTCTAAAATAATTTTAAAAATAATTATGTTCGTTAAATATATAAGTATCCAATGTAAATTAAATATAGAAAGCCAAATCATAACAACGCACAACAAAATTCTAAAAGATGTTGTCTACCATTCCCATATAAGACATATTTCTAAAAGAGGAGGGGTCACCCTTGATAAGGAAAGCACACTAGAGCAGGTCTTCTAAAACAAAACAAAAATCAAAAGGTGATCTTCAAGGAGCATAAAGGAATGAACATCGATTGAGTCGGGTCGGACCCATCAAGTCCCGATCTCATAACCCATCCCTTTTCATATTATATCATACATCTACCCTTATTCCTATCCCTTCTTTTACATAACAATGTCCCTCAGTCAGGCAACCCTTTCCTTGACCAAAACAAAGAGGCTTTTGGGTCTTGTAAGAACGTGACTTTCAGGTTCCCAACATATATATAATAGGAAGTTCCAAGTAGTCGTATGAGAAGTAATCTCTGAGGATATTACCAAAACAATGCTAAACCATTTTACTAAACTAGAATATTAAGTAGTTAAATGAGTCCAACATAAGCAAAAATTTGAAGTTTTGGGCAACCATAATGCAAGTATAATATTGTACCAAACAGAAAAACAAAGAACTGATAATAAATAAACTTGTAGATTAACTAATAATATGCCAGTCAAGCCTTGAGCTTCCCATAGAACTTGGCCTTCTCCTGTGTTGTCTGGAAACGACCATGACCAAACTTGGATGATGTATCAATGAACTTGAGCTTGATCTCCTCCAGAGCAACCCTAGAAGTTTGATGCAAGAGGGATTGCCTCAGAGTCACGACACGTTTCTTTGGCCCAACACACCCGCCTTTGATCATTAAATAATCTTCTTTCACCACACCATAATGGGGGAATCCACCCATTGGGGTAATATCCTTTTCAGTCCTGGAATTAGGAGAAAATGAAAGAAATTCAAAAAATGACGGTTGCAATATTTAGCATGCTGGAAAATAGGTGCTTGGCTAACCCGTCATATTCCGTCATGGCTGCATGTGACTCGTGTCCAGCCTTCCCAAGTTTATACACTTTCTTATTCATCTCAGTGCGGTGATGGTAGCCATTTTGCCCAGCCCTAGCAACAGTAAAAGAAACCCTAGCCGGATGCCATGCACCAATACAAGCAACCTTGCGAAGACCACGATGGGTCTTACGTGGGAGACGGGTGACACCCCATCTGGTCACCACACCCTCATAGCCTTTACCCTTGGTCACCCCAATGATATCTATCATCTCATCTTTCTGAAAAACAGCCTCAACTGGAATAGGTTTCTCAAAGAAACTGTAAGCAAAGTCAACTTTCTGGGCAACAGTTCCACCATTGACTTGAATTTCCATTAAGTGGGCCTTCTTCTGCTGCAAACCCTTCATTTTTCTTATCTATAGATGTATGCAATCAAAGAAATAAAAGAAGTCGGAAAAACATATATGTCAAAATGTTCAATCATCAATAATTGGAAGGAAGAAACCATAATTACACATTATAGAACCATTTGAGAGGAATATACCTGAGTATGGGCCAAAACACGAATAACAGTGCAATATTTTTTCAATTTTTCCAGCTGCAATTGAATATCTTTTTTACCATCTTCAGTTTCAAACTTCTTTGAGTACTTGGTGAATGCTTTCTTCTTAGACTTGCACCAGTGCTTATAGAACCTTCGTTTCACCTCTTCACTAAGATGCTGAGCCCACACAGTGCCCAGAGTACGGAGACCACGAGGAGTTTTGACATATCCAACAACTCCAACAACAACCATAGGTGGCGTCTCGATGATAGTAACTGCTTCACAAGTCTCCTTCTTGTGAAGTTCTTGAAGAAAGAACATAAATACATTAAATTAACCAGCTAAACATGCAGGAGAATGAACCATGCAAAAGAGAACATAAATAGAACACAATTTTTTCTTAAAGCAGTAAATCTGCAAAAGACTGTCAAATCCGCAATTTAAAAATCATGAGCTAGAGAAAGAAGAATTACTCGATCCAGGCTTTTCAACTTCCCTCACTATATGGGTCATCCCAGCTTTATATCCCAAGAATGCAGTTAATCTGCATGGCTTAGTAGGATCATCCTTTGGGAAAGCCTTCACTGAACAACCACAAAAGGAGAAGCGAAATCAGAAGATTTTAATTAACACAATCTTAGAGGAAAATATGATAGCCAGGACCTAAAATGTTCACTTAATAAATTGACAAGCTTAACATAATTAGAGATAGTGTTAGCAATTAGAAATTCAGGGATTACGTGGGATCAAAAGACAAACTATTAAAACAAATGGTGTTCTGCTTAGCCCTATCTAGTGCAATGAGACGATTGAATAATAGAAAAATCCAACAATATTACTAAATAAATATATACTGTTCCTAACAATAAAACAATTAAATGGGAATACAGAAAAACCTTTTCCTCTGTGGCGTGAGGCTCTTTTCCTTGGGAGAAATCCCAAAGAGCCATGCCTTGGATGCTCAAACTTGCGATGAGACATTTTCTTCAATAATAATTACTCTGCAAAACTAAAATTAACTGAGTTCCATTTTTACTTCAGCATAAGTATAATTCAAGCTAATAGCATAAACGGGGAAATAATTTTTTAGGTAAACCATTAGATCAAAACGAGAAAATATGAAGTTTAGAATCTGGATAGAAGCAAATCAAACATCGTACAGTTCTTCTAAAAAAACCAATTACACAACTAAAAATAGTTAGCCCCAGATGTAGAAAAACATGAAGAACAGCAGATCTAGCAAACTGAAAGGAAATGGACCCCAAGACCAAAGGCCTATGGCATGAACTTCGAGCACACCAATTCTCGGGCTCCTTTGGTGTTTCTTTCCAAAACCAAAATTTCAGGGTTTTGGCGAGAAGAGCCTTTTTCGAGACACCAGCCTTGATTTACCCAACAATGTCTTTTCATGGGGAAATCCATCTCAGTCATCGCCAGAAACTGAAGTTGAATCAATATGTTTTCATACACCAAGAGCATTACCAAACAAAACCAGTAATTCACGTAAAAAGCTAAAGCAAAAAATTCAACAATAGGATTCATTCGATAAACTTGAAATGGAATTCGCAACGAAAATTGGAACGCTAATACCTCGAGATCTGAAAGAAAGGAAAATGGAAAATTAAAGAAGCTCGAGAGCGGCTATCAGCTTCTTCAGTGGATAAGAACCCTACCTTTGCTTTGCAAGTGTATTTATAGCATTTAAAGATCGGAAGTGCACGGCCATGATCAACATTCATACGTTGGATATCGACCGTTAGATCCCCACGTCTAGGGTTTTTATTATTTTTTGTGTTTCGAAATGAAATTTTTAACTCTTTTACGGCAACGGCGGTGGGCCTGATGAAGCGCCGCCGTCTGTCCAGTAGTAAAATATGGGCTTCACCGCAATATATAGATGTATGGTCCATTTATTCTAGAATCCAGTCCATCACGAGGACCAAGCTCTAAGGCTTTTAGATTACTTTTGAATTTCTCTATATAATTAAAAAGTAATATTTTCTTAATTTATAAATTTTAGGGTAAATTACACAAATAGTCACTAATATTTGAGTAAATTTTCATTTTCTCTACTAGAGTTTTAAAAGTAATAAATTAATCATTAACGTTATCGATTTGTAACAAAATCGATCACTCGACTTAACAACCATTAACATGGGTGACGGAAAACTGATATGGCAAGTTAAATCAATTACCTGACACTATTTTCCCACAAGTTTAACTCCCTAAAATTTTTGGCTGGTCTTCTTTTTCTCTAACTAAGTGATGAATATCATAACACAATCATCATGAAATGTTGTAGAGCTCACGGTGCAGCAACTAATGACTAGAAACCACCTTAACTAATGGAGCATCAACACCCTGTCGCAACCGTCTTTCGGTTGCCCGGAATCGGGCTTCGACTTGAAATGATTGGGTTAGAGTCGCCACCGATCATTTTAAAACGAGTTTTAGGTAGATCGGACACCATCTTACCTGATCTGCGTTGTACAAGAAACGTGTCGAGTTCGGGAGTCGGTTACGGTAGAGGAAGGATTAACACCCTTGAACCGCCCTTTCGGTACCAATTAATGTGACAGTTGTCTTTAATTGCGAAAATTGAAATTTAAATTAAAAAATAAAAATATTCGATTCGAATTACTTACCTTTGATTGGTCGAACTTATTCTAAAAAAGGGTAAAAATGTTAGTAAAAAAAATCGAAAATACAACAATAAACTAAACTAATAAATCAAAAAGAAAATAAAAAAGAAAGTCAAATAGAGAAAATATAAAAATATAGTAATAATAATGAAATAAATAAATAGAGAAGAAAAATGAAAATTGCTATAAAAGTTAACAAAAAAAAGAAACCAGCATATATATATATATATATATATATAAATAAATGAATAAAAGGATTAATGTGTAAAATTAACAAATTCGAAATTCAAATCAAAAGTATTGAAGATTTAATCCAGTGACCAAAACGTAAGAGATAAAACTTACAAGACCGTTTTAATAGTTTACCCATGCGCAAAAATACGCAGAAGACCCCTAGGTGAAACGGCGCCGTTTTGACTCCTGCATAAGTACATGATACCAAGGCCAAAGGGCCTAACTCTCTTCATTCTCAACAATAGCTTTCTCTCTCTACAAAAAGAGAGAACCTTTTGGTTCTCTGGCTTCTCTCTACATCCGCCCGCCGGCCACCGCCCGTCGCCGCTCTGGCCACCGACGGTGGTGGCCGGAAAATCTAACCTACTCTCAAAATGCTCCTCTAGCCACCCTAAACACGATTCTGAAGCCCAAAACCCCAAAAAACTTGCCAATCGGTGTAGATCTAAACCGAAAGTCTCGACCTTTACTTCTTCCGGCGAGGCCTTTCACTTCCCCAGCGTTCTTGCTTCTCGCTTTGCTCAGCTCTTTGTTGTTTTTTGTATTTTTGTGTGTGACTTTTGTTTCCTGAGGGCCTTCGGCCTCACCGTTGATGATGGTTTTTCTTGTTTGTATCTTGGCTTGATGATGTTTGGTTCTAGAAAATGGTTCTTGGTTTCGTTGTTCTTGCGTTTGTGGTTCTCTCTCGTGTTTGATGTTTAGGTATTGTGGGTTCATGGCTTCCCCCCCCTTTTTGTATTGGGTTGGCCGTTTGGTATTTATAGGCCTTCATCGGCCGTTTTTCTGTTCCGAAATACGGGGCTGGTGGCCGTTGTGGGTTGACCGGCTAAAACGGGATGGGTCAGTCCCGATTTAGCCGGGGCTGATTGCTTCGTGACCGAATCTTGGCCGGTTTTCTCGCCTGGCTGTGCATGACTTGTTCCTCCCTCGTTCGGCGCAATGCTTGACCGAGTAAACCCTAACTTGCTTTGGCTGTTGGTTACAGGCTGGGTCAGACCCAACTGACCTGGGCACTGGACTGGATTCTTGGATATGGACAAACACCAAAAAACGATTAAATAAATAATAAAAACAAAAATAAAATAAATAAAAAGAATAAAAAGAATAAAACAAAATAATATGATATGATATATATAAAAAAAATCGTTTTAAAACTATATATAATATATATTTCAAAGATATTTCCAAAATCATATATTATATAATTTTAAAAATGTTTCAAACTGTATGTTATAGTTTTCAAAAACGTTTTAAAACTATATTATATGTTTTCAAAAAATGTTTTTTTTTAAAAAAAAAATTATATATTATATAAATTTTAAAATGATTTTAAAACTATATATTATATAGTTTTCAAAGGTATTTTTTTTAAAACATATATTATATATGTATTTTTCAAAAATCATTTTGCGAACTATATATATATGTATAGATATATATATATATATATATATATATATATATATATATATATATATATGTATAAAGTAAAATAAACTAAATATGGACGAAAATGAGTGTCTACAGCTGCCCCTCTTTGTCCTTTTTCGTGGAACGAAAAATAGGACAAAGATAAAAAGACACAAATTTTCGTTTGGTGGAGTTGAAGAATAAATCCATGTCGAATTGAGTTGCGGATGGCCCCTCCGTCGCGAAGTCGAGTCCATCTCGAAATAATATGGGATTGAAACCGTAGTTCGAAATTTGAATCGGGATGCGGCTTCTTGTTGTCCAATTGTAGTCAACTTCGATATTCTTCTCGGTTTAAAGACCTTGGTTTAAAAGTTCGACTAGGAAGTAGTTTCTTGACTCCACCCTATGGTTGATAAGCCCTCGAGCTGAATGAAATCGAACTCAGAAGGTCTTCGTTGGCATATAGCCCTTCCCGACTTAAGCTATGCTGCAAATGACATGCCTTGGAGCTGAGCGTGGTCGAACTCAAAGGTCTTTGGTTGGCACGATTCCCTTCGTCGTGAAATTGAAACCATGGATGGCCTCTCGTTGTGAAGTTGAGCCTCAAATTGGATATCCTTCGTCGTGAAGTTGAAATCTGAGTAAGTTGTATTGTTCCGAGTCCAATATCCTCCGCCGTGAAGTTGAAATTGACTCTGGAACTGGAAAATTGTTTATTGACAACCAGCGGTCCCTTCGTTGTGAAGTTGAACTTGTGTTGCATGGAGTCCAATATCCTTCATTGTGAAGTTGAAATTGGCTCTGAAATTGAGAAGTTGTTTGTTGACAACCAGCGGTCCCTTCGTCGTGAAGTTGAACTTGCGTTGTCTGGAGTCCAATATCCTTCGCTGTGAAGTTGAAATTGGCTCTGAAATTAGGAAGTTGTTTTTTTTTTTGACAACCAGCGGTCCCTTCGTCGTGAAGTTGAACTTGCGTTGTCTGGAGTCCAATATCTTTCGTTTTGAAGTTTTAAATCAGCTCTGAAATTGAGAAGTTGTTTGTTGACAACTAGCGGTCCCTTCGTCGTGAAGTTGAACATGCGTTGTCTGGAGTCCAATATCCTTCGCTGTGAAGTTGAAATTGGCTCTGAAATTGGGAAGTTGTTTATTGACAACCAGCGGTCCCTTCGTCGTGAAGTTGAACTTGCATTGTCTGGAGTCCAATATCCTTCGTTGTGAAGTTGAAATTGGCTCTGAAATTGAGAAGTTGTTTGTTGACAACCAGCGGTCCCTTCGTCGTGAAGTTGAACATGCGTTGTCTGGAGTCCAATATCATTCGTTGTGAAATTGGCTCTGAAATTGAGAAGTTGTTTGTTGACAACCAGTGGTCCCTTCGTCATGAAGTTGAACATGCGTTGTCTGGAGTCCACTATCCTTCGCTGTGAAGTTAAAATTGGCTCTAGAAGTGGAAAATTATTTATTGACAACCAGCGGTCCCTTCGTCGTGAAGTTGAACTTGCGTTGTCTGGAGTCCAATATCCTTCGTTGTGAAGTTGAAATTGGCTCTGAAATTGAGAAATTGTTTGTTGACAACCAGCAGTCCCTTCGTCGTGAAGTTGAACATGCGTTGTCTGGAGTCCAATATCATTCGTTGTGAAATTGGCTCTGAAATTGAGAAGTTGTTTGTTGACAACCAGTGGTCCCTTCGTCATGAAGTTGAATATGCGTTGTATGGAGTCCACTATCCTTCGCTGTGAAGTTGAAATTGGCTCTAGAAGTGGAAAATTGTTTATTAACAACCAGCGGTCCCTTCGTCGTGAAGTTGAACTTGCGTTGTCTGGAGTCCAATTTTCTTCGCTGCGAAGTTGAAATAGACTCTGAATGAAATTGGAAAGATGTTTGTTGACAGACAACTTTTCTTGACTTAAGTTGTGCTGTAAATTTCCATTAAATGAATGATGGCCCCTTTCGCCAAATTTTGTGAGCCGGATATCTTTCGTCGTGGAATTGAAATTTGGCTTGAAAATGTTAACTGGAAACATACTGCTCATGGTTGAGTTTGTGTCGAACTGGATTTGTTTTGAACTGGTTCTCGAACCTATCTAAAATTGGTTCTAAGATGTCAAGTCGGTTGAGGTGTAGCTTCTTACTGCCGAGTTAATCAACCACCATCCTTCTTTGAAGGCACTTAAGAATCGAGTATCCTTCATCCTGAAGTCAAAACTTGACTCTAAAAGCTACAAAAACGTGTATGCTAAAATGATGAATGTGATGCACCTAAGTATGTTTAAGATGCATGCAATATGGATGAATTATGTGTTATCTTCTGGATAGAGTCTCGTGCTTTGTCTGTCAATCAGGTCCTTGGAATGGATCGTGCCCCATTTGCTTCCCGAGCTT